CAATAGTGGAAACGCAAGCTGCGCTTGGTGGAACTAACCATGAGTAAACGAGGTACATATTTCTATTTCACATCTTGTGCATCGAATTTGCTTATGGAAACCGTAATGGCCCCCTCCCAATATGGAACATTTTGGATTCACAACTTCCTAATGAATGTTTCTAAAGGTTCTTCGAGTCCGTTGAGCCGTTTGGATGTCTGTTTTTGTGCTAGCGCAGGGGAGAGCACATGTGTGGCACGTGTAGAAGACGCATTTAGGAGAGTCCCGTCACTGCCATTCACATCGGTTGCATTAGCACGATCTCCCCTCAGTTTAACACTGGTTTGGTTGATTAGATGGTAAATTAAATGTCTATATGTTCCGCTGCCATAGAGTTAATTCCGTCTATGGAGGTTCAACTCGCCCGCATTCACTTTGTACATTCGTTTTAGATGACCCTGAGCTTTGTACAGCACAGGAATTTTGCGTCTTCCAGGAAGACGAGGACGCAACAGTCATCGTTAACGAAGAGATAATGGAGGAAACCCCACAGCAGGTGGGGGTGATTGTGGTTGAAGGTGCGTATTAACTACTAAATGTTAAATGGCTTTTCCTGTCTTCAGATCTGCTTTTGCACTGAGCAGCTTCTGCCTCCTCTGTGTTGCATCTAGTAACAGTGTTAAGTGTAATTTATCTGCGCACTAGTTCACGATAACAGTGTACACATAATAATTTCTCCCTTTTTTCGGTAACGTATTTCTGCACATGATAATGTGCATGGTAATATTGTTGACAATCCTCATCTGCACTATCCCACGGAATGTCGGATAACTGTGGAGACCTCCACCGTCATCTCGACAACAGTAAGCCATAAAGAACAACATTAAATGACGTTGGTGAGTGGTACGTGAATAGTTCTGGATGTTAATCAGTTGTTTGTTGATCAAATGTCATGCCGCCAATATGGTTCTCTCGACTGCCAAACTATGTTCATTCACTGACGTGTCTCATGTCAGGATATCCAAGATTTTAAAAGGTTTATTAGCTTACTGACAAATACTTCAGTTGAATTGTGCTATTCTCTTATATTGGAGCATATTCCCGGGGTAGTTCAGACACACCAGATGATT